CTTCCGCTCCCCCCCCCCCCCCCCTCTCTCTCTAGAACGAACGAACGAACGAACCTAGGCTCTGTATTTGTGTCGCAATGTTTTCACGGGCACTGGAGGAAATTCAAAAGACAAATGAATGAACGACGCTAACGACTGAACTGCAACAGCTACAGTCTCACAGGTACGAATGTTTCATTTACTCCTCTCTGAGAACGCATTGTTAAATATTAATGAAAATAGCCTACGTGTGTATGCGAGCGCGACTGTAATAAGATGGTTCATGACCATGACAGCTGCTTGCGCAGTAAACTCTTTCGACTTGACTTCTCTCATGAAGCGTAAATGTTCCGATGAAAATGCTTAATTAGAGATGTTACGGTTTATTTTAATGTCGTTGCGCTGGGGAAAGCGTTGCGCTAAAGGACGTATACACATAGTAGCCTACAGAAAATGGGAAGCGACTGCAGCACGTCTATAGCGCAACCCTGGACGGCAGAGGCTTTTCCCATAAAGATTCATACTCCATTCTAAAGATGCCATCATTTATATGTCTTAAGACACGAATGATGCTGCACGGGTCTACACCATCTAATATTTTGTCAGGTAACCTGATATGTGCTATATGTGGTACGACTAAATTACCCGTTTTTAGGTTAGACAAATGATCGTAATTTTAACGGTAAGATCACGTAGAAATAGGTGAAACAACTGCACAGTTTCACTTTGAATATGAGCAGATCAGAAGAATTACAAATATGTTTCAAAATTCTAAATTTTAAAGGGGTCATGAAATGCATGTCTAATATTTTGTCAGGTAACCTGATATGTGCTATATGTGGTACGACTAAATTACCCGTTTTTAGGTTAGACAAATGATCGTAATTTTAACGGTAAGATCACGTAGAAATAGGTGAAACAACTGCACAGTTTCACTTTGTTTCACTTTGAATATGAGCAGATCAGAAGAATTACAAATATGTTTCAAAATTCTAAATTTTAAAGGGGTCATGAAATGCATTTTCAGTTCTTTACCTAGGCCTACTGTATATTTCTAGAGGTTAGCTTATAAAGTTTGCACTCACGGGGCGTTACCTTTTTCAGAAATGCAAGTAAATGCCCAATGCTGTGATTGGCGAACTTCATCGTGCCTTATCCACGCTCTCCTCAATGCCATGCCTGACGTGTTTTGATGCTGGAGATGGCCAGCACTCTATGTGGCCAGAGCCTATATGTGTTTGAGTCTGAGTCAGATCCCAAGGCAGAAGAAAGTGAACCATGAACCAGTGCAACCACAGTTGCAACAGTCTGCTTCAGCATGGTAATTGTGCTTGCTGTATATTATCTGTATATAAAACGTATTATTATAACTGGCATATGGCAAAACTATTATTGCTAAACTGGCATCATGTTGGGAATAATTTAAAAAAAGAGCCTGCTGTGAAATGAGACAAATGAAAACATTCTCATTCGTTTGGGTTAGTTCATCTAAAATGAAAATTCGGTCATCAGTTACTCACCCTCATGTCATTGCAAAACTGTAAGACGTTCGTTCATCTAAGGAACACAAAGTGAAGATAATTTTAATTAAATTAGATATTTGTTCCGCTATTAAAAGTTGATTCACCCAAAACTTGTAATGAGCTAAAACAAATAAATCCATGTGAATCAAGCAGTTTAATCCAAGTCTTATGAAGAGACATGCATTTATATAATGAACAGATTTAATGTTGACTTTTACTCACATTTGTTTTTATGAAGAAGATGGAGAGAATGAATTTCACAAGGTTTTTGCCAAGAAGAATGAGAGATGAGAGACAGTGTAGGATCCACTGACCTTGTGTCATACCTGCATAGACATAATGACGTCACAGACTAGCTAACCCTATGAGAGAACAGTGTTGTTTTGGTTGATCAAGTGAGTCAGCTTCTGATTGAATGAGCCACATTTAAAGCCATACACACAACTGTGACCACACATTGAATTCAAGCTGGAACATTGTTCACCCCTTAATAATCCTGGCATGTTTGAGAACAGTAGAAGTACGTCTTTAGTCAAATGTAAGCCAAATGCGTGCATATGTGCAGTTTCATTTCATCTGCGTTGCATATGGATGGTCAGGAATTATGAATGATACATTCCTTGGAGTTTCAATTGTTTATGTAAAGAGGCTGCTGTATACCCTTATGTAGAAAATTCAAACAAATAATTAAATCCATACACATGTCTCTAAACTGACAGGAATGGTGCAATACTTTTAATTAGTTCTGACCTCAGTCAGACACGCACACATATGCACACACACATACACACAGTTAAATGGTTAAACGGGACACAGTTCTGATCTTACTGCATACAAATGGGCCTCTGTCTGGGCCTGGAAACATTCACGGAAATGTACGGAAATGTCTGACTGTATGGAATCTGAGCATGCATGAGAGGGAAATAAAGAGGCCAGCTGCACTAATAGACTCGCTTTCAACTGGAAACTTTCTTGCTGCAACCGCTCTGTTTTTAAACGTGTTTGAGCACCATGAATTAATCTTACAATGTATTTTCACATTTATAATTAGGTCGGCTTTGCTAATCAAGTCCAATCAGTATAATCAAACACAGCTGGACTCAAATGAAGGTGTAGAACCATCTCAAGGATGATCAGAAGAAATGGACAGCACCTGAGTTAAATATATGAGTGTCACAGCAAAGGGTCTGAATACTTAGGACCATGTGATATTTCAGTTTTTCTTTTTATATAAATCTGCAAAAATGTCAACAATTCTGTGTTTTTCTGTCAATATGGGGTGCTGTGTGTACATTAATGAGGGAAAAAAATACTTAAATGATTTTAGCAAATGGCTGCAATATAACAAAGAGTGAAAAATTTAAGGGGGTCTGAATACTTTCCGTACCCACTGTATATATAGTTATATAGTTTATATATATTTTTTCATGCAGAATGATTTCAATACATCTCTTCTAAGATTAATATGTTTCAAACATGTTTGATGTGTCAAAATCCAGCCGACAGCCTAATCCCCAAACATAGTAAACTAAGTAAAACGAATAAAGCACAATGTCATTGTAATCAGGAGCATCATGTTCAAACAGACTTCAGCAACTTTTGTAGACACACCGTTTGTTGGGTGTTGCTGGGATTATACCAGCATCCAAAAGACGACATATGCTGGTCATCTAGCATGCCAGCATCCCATGCTGTGGACCAACATAACAGCACCAGCATCCCAAGATGGTCCATGATGACAGAATATAAATTTTTTCCTTTGGATATTGTGTGTAGGCTTATTCTTTCACTGTGTTAGACTTTTTTTTAAGGAGTTTTGCATAGATGTCAGCTGTTTTTGTCATGTAACAAGAAAGCCATTGCCTGTCCAATTAATAACACATCTCTCCTAAGGTATCTCTTGAATAAAGTGTGAGCAATAATATTATTAAAATGAATGTGTGAAAAAATCAGCAAAGGGCCAGAATCAATTTGTAAATGGTAAATGTAAAAATCCTGTTCTCTCTCTCTCTGTCTCTCTCTCTCTCTCTCTCTCTGTCTCTCTCTCTCTCTCTCTCACACACACACACACACACACACACACACACACACACTTTTTCAAGGGGAAATTCATTTCCTGAGAACAACTGTACATGTTAAAACACATTGACACATGTTGAACAAACAGAAACTGCCTGAAGGAAAAGATCAAATCAGATTTTTCCAGGAACAGCAGAGGCAGACGGACATACTCATTTTCCTGATAAAAACTTTTTTCTTTTTTTTTTAAATCTTTGTTGGCCTGTTATGCTCTTGATGATAAAACATGTTATAACAGCTCTTAAAAATTACAGACTTGAAAATGACAAAATTAGACCCTTAAAAGTACACTTCATCTTGATAGAATAATATATGCTCTTTTTTTAAACAAATGAAATACATTTTAGATTATCTGATGAAATTTTTGAAAACAGTACGCTAACAATGTGTTTCTAGTTCACTAAAATGTAAAATTGTTTCAGAATGGAACAACTCAACAAGACCTCATGACCAAACTTAGGTATTATACATAAAGTTTGGGTCTAGAGAGATGGCTGTACCTATGGTACAACTGCGTTTTAGTGCCACGTAAAATAAAAAAAATAAAAAAAGATAAATCTAAGATTGGGTGATTAAAGTCATAATATTTTGACATTAAAGTCAAAATTATGAGAATTAAGTTATAGCAATATGAGATTGAAGTCTTAATATATATATATATATATATATATATATATATTCTTTTTTTGTTGTTGCCGTTTTTCACTTTATTTCGATTGGAAAGATCCGTGTTGACAGAAAGCGAAGTGGGAGAGAGAGGGGCCGGGATCGGGAAAGGTCCTCAAGCTGGGATTCGAACTCGGGAGCGCAATGGCACTGTGTGTCGACGCACTGCCCACAAGGTTATCGGTGCCGAAAAGTCTTAATTTTTTCATAAGAATAAAATCGTAGCATTATGAGATTAATGGCATAGTATTTTGAGCATAAAGGTCAAAATCACAAACATTGTTGGCGCCACGGGGGAAATATTTTTAGAATGTGGTATATTGCGTGAATAAAGTTAATTATTGTAAAAATTCCACTCTGCAAAAAAGTCTGTGGCATCCAACCGTTTATTCTTTATACGTTTAACATTAAAAACAGTGATAAAACAGTTTGTTTCATTATGCTGTACTGTTTCTGTCAACATGCCTTCAGATGCTTTCATTCTTCTGATGCCTTTATTCATGCCTTAATTCATGTTTATTTCGTGAAGAGTAAAAGATTACATTTTTGTCTTTTGCCTTTATTATAATACAACAGTGGAGTGCAGACAGGAAGCGAAGTGGGAAAGATAGGGGGGGGGGTATCGGGAAAAAATTATATATTAAAATATATAAAAATAGAAAGCCATTATTTTAAATTGTAATAATATTTGACAATATTACTTGTTTTGCATTTTTGATCAAATAAATGTAACCTTGATGAGCATAAGAGGTTTCTTTAAAAAACAACAACATTAAAAACCTTACTTTTGAATGGGTGTGTAATTCTGCTGCAGAAAGTCAGTGACACTATTCAGAGCGCTACAACTTCCGTTACTGTGTACAAAATGAAGTGGAATACATTTGTTTCATGGTGCAAGAAGCACAGTATAAAGATCCAATAAAAGTCTTAAGTATAGTATAATGTCCAATAGTACACATTTCGACAGGAACTTCTTCAGCAGGGCAAGGCCTTTTCTGCCTTTAAAATGTATCTATTAACAATATCTGCAGATTGCTGGAAGTAGATTTGAGAATCTTATATAAGACAGCTCTCTTGCCCACTTTAGTATCAGCCAGGCACGTAGGAGAGCTCCATATATTGTCGAGCCACTCCCCTTTCACTGAGTTCATTGCAAGGTGTGGCTCAGAATCGCTTAGAGGTCACTCTGTGACTGAATGCGGAATTTATATTTGACACCAACTTATGTTTACTCTTTTGGCTACCTGGGTTAAATTCCCAGATAATTCATGAACTGATAAAATGTATACAAATTATGTAAAATGTATAAAAGGTCATACATGTTAAATGTTATTTTGCTTTTTATCCCAGTAACATCAGAGGCTACATGCCCTCTGCCCTTTATGTGTTTTGCACATTTACTTGGACAGAATTTGAGATTTCAGACGGTGTCGGCAGTTATTGTGTGTCTCTAAGCAGAGATTTTCACATTGGATCATCAAAGCTATAGCATAATACAAGTGTGCAGGAAAGGAAGCTCCTCCTATAGAGTGGTATGTGCCAAGTGACTTAACCAAAAGAAAATGTCTGGTTACCCAGTGTAACCTTGGTTCTCTGAGGGAAAGGAGTGAGACAGTCCAGGGGTGCCCCCCAAGTCCACTCATATTTCAGAGTGGCGTATTAAAGGGGTCATATGATGTTGCTAAAAAGAACATTATTTTGTGTATTTGGTAAAATGTGTTTATGCGGGCTTACAACTTAACCACTGATTTCTAGTCGTGTCCTCTTTTGGAAGGCCAAAGAAAGTAGTTTCGCTTTCACAACGAAACACACGGCGGGCTAGAGTGAGCGGAGGCCGGCTTGAGTGAGCAGAGGCGGGCGGGCAGGCTTGAGAACAGCGCGGCCGACGGATTCGACGAAGGAGCGTCGGCAAAGCTTGCGGCAACCACATGTGACGACCCCGGGCTGGACTCCGCTTTTCTTCCACGGTGAAAGTGGATATCGTCCTCTTTTGGAAGGCCAAACAAAGTAGTTTCGCTTTCACAACGAAACACAGCGCTTTCACGACATGGCGGCGGCAGCAACAATACAATAGCGAGAATCAAAGTTACGCCTTTTTCTTTGTGTGAACATTTGGGCGGTGTTATGCAAATCTTCCCACATAGTGAGGCAGATATGTGGAGGCGTGTTAGAATGAGGCGTTTTAAGTAGGCGTGGTTGACTCTTAACTTTTATAAAGAATATCTCTTTGGATTTGAGACTTTAGTCTTTGCAACTTTACAGATCTTCTTTATGCACCAAGAGCTTGTAACACTCCAAAGAGAAAGGAAAAATTGCAATCGCATCATATGACCCCT